CTATTCTATCTACACTGACATTTGAAAAGTAGCATTGCAAAGGAAACTTGGATTTATAAGAATCTATGGATTCATAATTATTGATCTTGCTCCCATTCCGAGTGAAGGTGTTTGGTAAAGAGGTTCTAAGGTCGATCGGATCAGGCGACGGCAGATTACGCTTGACTAATTGCCGGTTAGCTTTACTGAAATATTATAGTTGACGCTGTTCCCGAGGCAATCTCCTTGGATTCTTACTTACGTTTCTAGACTTCGTGGGCATTAACTTACAGATATAGGAAGGTTATCTTTAATGGCTCGGCTGAAACAATCATGCACTTACTAAGATATGGCAACTACGCTTAGTGATAAGAGCTCTTCAAAAATAATTCATTGCGCACGAGCAACGCAGCCTCACCTCCAATGATAAAATGTTTTGACTTTAACCAGTTACTCAGTTATCCAGTTACCTGCTTAATTCACTACAACATCTCGGATATAAAGGAAATTATTTTAATATTCTGAATTTTCCAGACTAGTTTTTAAGGTACTGGATGCTTCCTGTGAATCTTCAACAGGTAACCCTATCTAAAAGATGAGATCTTGACAGCATGCAAAATAGTATGAATTTGAACAACTCTGGATATTTTTCTGACCGACTTGCAGGCATATGTACAATCATATTATATGAGCAATGAGACGTGGATATGTGTCATAAATAGTTGATCTATTTTTATATAGCGTTGTCATAAGGCTATGTATCACATACATATTTATAAGGCTTTAGAGCAAATGTCTAAGTTAATAATGGTTAGGATTTGTTCTGTCACTAAAGTACCATTACAAATTGTAATGTAAAAGAAAATACATCATGATAATAAAAAACTTGCTTGCAACAAAAACATCCATCACAATAAAGCATCATAGATTCACAGAAGGCAGTTAAGAATATTTTATTTAATTAAACATGTCGCATAATTTATTTTGTTTACATCAAAGCTTCTATGTAGAGTAATTCATTAGCAGGCCAATATTTGCTATAATAATATTCTGTTAAGACTTCTCCTGTTAGCCAAGATCGATATTATTTTATATATTATGCAAATGGACAAAATTCAATTCGGATTGTCGCGAAGTAAAATTTGATAAAATTGTACAAGAACACAATTATTTAATATATCTCACATCGTGCCTTTTTATACACCGATCAAGACCAAATTACGTATACCTAGCCGATAAAGTTTTTAACAAATTGTTTTAAAATAAATAGCTTCACAATAAGTTTTAGATAAAAATTACTTATACAAAACGATAAGAGGATATGAATATTATTGTTTTTGTCAAAACTCTTCTTCAGTATCATCCCAATCGCAGGTTTCAATCAATGAATGCTTAAAATCCACCTGCTTATCATAAACAAAGCCCTCATCATCTGGTGTTTCTTGATTGAGCAAATACAATTCGTTCATAATTTCTTTTTTTCTACAAAATGCTATTATAATAATGAAACAACTTGCCTTTCTAAGGCTTCGACATCCAATAAATTTAAGTTCTCATCTGGATCGATTGTGTATAGCTTATCATTGTTAGCTAAACTTTCAGATAACGAAACACCTTTAATAAGATCTTTTAAAATGCTTAAAAGCCTTTGAAGTTGGGTTGTTGGAATCTGCTTAAGATATTCGGAGTGGTGAGAATCGTGTAATAACTCATTTGACAACTCATAACATGGCTTATCTAAGCATTCAAAAGACAATTTTATGCGTCGACATTTGGTTTTAATGCCAGTTTTATACACTAAGATTAAAGTAGGAGGATCATGAAGTATTCCACATTTTGTTACCAC